ATTTTTAAAAGGTCTTCATTAAAAGTAAACCATATTTTAAAGTTTTTTTATGATTTATCTGACCCTTACTGATTTTGAAGTAGTGTCTGTAATTTTTTTAAGATAATATTTTGTCTACATTTAAAGCTTCATTTACTCATGAAGCCAACACTCCCGAAAAAACGTGTCCAAATTATCGAGAACAAAAAAGCAAAGGAAGAATCAAAGCTAGAACAAGTCCAGAAAATGATGAGGAAGACGAATTGGACCAAGAGTAAGTTGTTTAAGTTTTGTAGACATTGATTGTATACATAGTACGTTTTTAAATTACATTTAATTAGATTTTGTTTAGTCATAGCCATTATTATTATTTCAGGTTGATGAGGCTTGTTCCTTGTTCTAGACAATCCACAATTTTCCTCAACCAGATCTAGAAGAATTTCATTCCACGGAACTGTATATGAGCCATTGAAACATCTCTTAGCAAAAGCTGGCTTTTTTATGATGGTGATTTTAAAAAAAATAAAATATTTATTCAGCCTTTCTTTAAGTATCCTGATTAAGACAATTTTATTTTCCTTAACAAGCAATGGTACCTACAGCCTTAGGTCTTGATAGAATATGAGAACAGGCTGAATTTGCAGTGAAAGACTTTGCCATAGTTCTGCTTCCGTCTCTCTCCTCTATCTTACACTGCCTTTACCCATTCCCACTCTTTCTCATTGATGTTTGATGACCTACGGTACCATTTGCAGACATCTCTGTAACAGCATCCAGTGTATCCTTTTTGTCTGGTTCTCTATGGCAAGCTCCGCATATTGGATATTTTTCAGAACTCTTCCATCCGGCATGGGGCTGAGCTAACCAAAAGTTACATTGTCCTTACTGTGTAAGTAATATCTCAATACTAAGTCGTTTGGTGTCTTGGTCACTTCTGGAGATAACCACTATGCATTTCAAAATTTTTTAATATCTTGTAATATTTATATTTATTACATATTGTAATTTTTTTAATTTATTTTTGTAAAAGCACTATACTGAGTATCAAATCCAAAGCAAAAGGATTTAGTTAATAAGTTATTTTTAGAAAAGCATAATAAAATTTTTATAAGCAAAACAAAGTAGCGTTCATCATCTAATTTTGTTTAAGAGCTTCAAAATTAGGGGTTCTGTACACTTTCTGCATTTCTAGCCCAAGTCTGTGTGCTCTGATCATACTTGTTATACTTATTTATTGTACTTTTATTAACTTAGATAATTAATAGCAGTCATGAAGTCTTTTATTTCTTTCAGTTATGTCTACTATGTAACTATGTCTACTATGTAACTACCAAATTAATACTCATTTTCTTATTTTCAGTTTCCATTGGTTCCATGAAATGCTTCTGCTGTGGAGGAGAGGTGAAACACTTCCCTAACAATGTCAACATTTTTATCTACCATGCCCAAACATTCCATAAATGCAGTTACATCATGTTGGCTAAAGATCTTTATAATTCTTCCCTTGTAAGGAAATAGTCTCAATGTGTTGCTTCATTAAATTTAAAAAAAAGAGAATATCTATTACTTCTTACAATGATCCAATTACAATTTAGAAAAGAACTGGAAGAAAATAGAGTACTTATTTTATTATTTTCAAAAGGTAATGCCATTTTAAAAAAATCGCAATTTCTTTTCAGACATCGCCAAATGTTGATACATTTGATATTGTTCAAGGTGACACTTTAAATAGAAGTGCTTGTTAATAATTTTTTTTTTGCAAACACACTGTTTGTTTGATTTTAGAGCATATTTTTACAATTTACTAAATTTGTAATTTGCATAAAAGTTACTAATAAAAAATGTACATTTATAAATCACCTTCCAATATCTTTCATACATGACACACTGGCTATGTCTGTTGATTTGTTTCCAGGCTTTATAGTGTCTATTATTTGAAATTCCTATAAACAGGCTATATTAACAATTGCCCCTAAAATACTTTTTAGCCTGTGAATGTTTGTATCTGTTACAATGCAATGAAACATCCCATTCTCTCTTTCCTTCTCTCTTTCATTCTTATATATATATCTCTGTGTCACCATGTTATTTTGGATGGTCTTTGGGAGACATTAGGTTCATATTGTAATTTTATCTTATATAATACAGATGTTACTTAAGATTATTACGACCTACGCGTCATGCATTTAGTCATACATATTAACCAATGACCTAAATTCTACTAAGTTACTGGTTTTCCTGGCTAGCTCAGGCTACCCATTCCATGCTCTAATAGCAATAGGGAAGAAGGAGCATTTGTAAAAATGTGTCCTAGCATATGGAGCAAGGAATGTGCCTTTATCTTTGTATCTTTCTGAGTATTTCATTCGATTTTGTTTATGTCTTTTAGGTTCATACCTCTCTCTCGTAAATGAGGAAATAACTCTTGATGTAGCAGACACAAATAATATGTTTACTATATACAATAATTATAATAACAAAACATAGGAAATAAGATACACGCAATCCTAAAATAATCAGTAATAATCCTTTATAGAAATACTCTACAGTGGTACTAACTTACTGACTGGTACAGATCTCAATTACTTTATAATGACTATACAATGATTCTTACAATAACTTTCTTAAGTGACTACATTCAATGACTACCCTTTACTGACTGCTCTGTTGTTGTTTTTTACCCATCACATTGTAGTGTTCTTTGGCATAGACATTCGACTTCAGTTAAAACATGGACACACACATGCTTTGCCTCATAAATTCTAGTATCATTCTCTCTCCCCTGCCCTCATGTCCATACATAAAAAATCTCTGCCTTTTTTGCATTTTCAGCTTCTCAACTCAATATCAAAATATTTAATTACTTCATAACTCTATATAGCACAAACACAGACAGATCTTTTCTATGACAATGATAACTCCCTAACTTTTTAGTATCTTTCAATTAATCTACCCCCTCACCATCCTCTTTTCAAATTTTGAATTTTAGATATATAGTGCTTTTGGTTAGTGTGACCTTTTGTTTTTAAGCAATGTATGGCATTAAATACTGCAAACATTTCTTTAGACCATCAGTTGCAGGTCTAAAAAAACAAAAATATTTTTAGAAGACCCAATGCCTGTTTCCACACTACGTTTATTTTGGCATTAGGTTTTCTAAAAAAAGAAATATCAATTTGATTTTATTGAATGTTGAGAAGAGAGGGGGCTACAGAGAATAGTAGTCTTATCTACACATGATATGCTTTTTTTTTTCTCTCTCTAGTGTTCTGTCTTTAATATGTTATTATGCTAAGTTATTTATTTTTATACCTTGTCTATAAGGAAGCGGAAATAAATAGAGTATGATGTAATGCAAGTAGAAAATAAGTTGTCTACGATAAAAGAAAGATTAATATGTTTTGAAATAGAAGTATATATTTTTTTACTATTTCTATGTATACTTTATTTATAGAATTTTGCCTTTTGGGAAAAAAAAAAATAACTTACAAAGATTTAATTTAAAGCTTGCATTTTTTAATTTTTTTTGAGAATTGTGGCATTCAGGCTGTAAATTTGTCAAAACAGTCACCTAAGTGGTAAAAGGAGGAGCGGTGGCTGAATGGTAAAGTAATTGGTTTCCAAATCTGGGATTCCTGGGTTCAAAACCTGGAATTTTTAATTTCAGGATCATTAGGGAGCCTCTGAGTCCACCCAGCTTAGATGACATTAGTTGGGGAAAAGTAAAGGCAGTTGGTAATTGTGCTGGCCCTATATAAGCCCTCATAAACTGTGAGCCACAGAAACAGATGACCTTTCATCTTTTACCCCATAGATTGCAAGATTGGAAAAGTGAACTTTACTTTAAAGTGATCTCTTGATACATACATGAGTGTTATTAGAAGAGGCTAAGTACGCTTGAACTTGTCTTGGCTTGGCTACCTATGAAGGGGGCTCGAGGTTCGACACCTTACTCAAGCAGAATTGCGCTTACTGATTGCCTATTGGCAGCACAGAAAGCCTTCTCCCAGTTACCCCCACCCCAACTGGTCCACAAATGAGATTGGACCATAGAATTCCGAGCATGCTATATAAAATCTATCATTTCAGTTCAGCTATTTTTTTTTATTTTTTTTTATAAGATATTTTTGTAGAATTGCCAAGTTAACACCTTATTTCTTTCTTTTAACTTTACAGATGAGTCTAACACAGATATTGAGCAGTTACCACCAGAAATGTTGTGCAAATTCTGCTATTTGCAGAGAAGATGCATTTGCTATTTCCCTTGCCGTCATGTGATTTGCTGCATTGATTGTGGTTTTGGAGTTACCACTTGTCAGATCTGTGAATCCCAAGTAACCTTTATAAAATATGTCCGGTGGTCTCCTCAGACGAACTAGTCTTAATATTATAAACTAGAAATATATGGACAGTTGCTGTTTTTTTTTAGCTGTCAGGTTTTTACAAACAAGTCACACTTGTATTCAATGTAATGGCCATATATCCAGATCTATTGAATATTTTGTGTGCAATATTTTTAATCTTTCATTTAAACCATGACAAAATACCCATTTAGACCATGCAGTCTTTAGGGCAGATGATGTTAAGGTCATCTGTTTCTTTGGTCAGTGGTTAATGACCAGGGTGTCATGTGGCCAGCACAACGACCAACCGCCTTTACTTTCCCCCATCTAAAGTAGAGTTGGTTGAGCTCAGGGGCGCCCTAGAAATCCCAAAGCTCAAATCCCAGTCTTCACCAAGATTCTAATCCAGGACCCCAGGTTCGGAAACCAAGCACTTAACCACTCAGCCACCATGACAACTCATTTGGTAAATGTAAAAAAAAAGACATTTTTACTATGATGTTTTAGATACCCACCCTTTTGCAATGTGAAAATACAGTAAAATAAAGATTTTAAAATAATTTTTAGACAAGAAATTCTTTTAAAAAAATCTTGGCAAACTTTTTATTTTTAACAATAAATAACCTACTTAACAAAACAAGCGATGGTATTCCATTGGTTAGGAAAGAAGAAATAGGATAATAATAAGAAAAAAAAAATTGTCTCAACCTGAGCTAAGCTGTTGTTGTTAAGTTCTTTTTTATTTCCTTTTGACTAAATAAAAAAAAAAAGTAGTATATTACACATTTAAAATTTTAAGACTGCTACATGCCTAACTAAGACTGGGGACCATTGACAGATGTCTGGTATTAATTGCTTGAAACATTTTTTGTTTTGTTTGTTTTTCGTTGTTTTTTTATTAGAAATATAATTCATATTTTATTTCCCAAGTTTACAATTTTGTGTTAGTTGAAAAAAATCAGCTTTATAGGAGTATTTTTAGTAACAGACATTAGACTATTGGACATTCTCTGAAGGAGCTAGAACTGGTAGTCTGTGTAGTCTTAATATTTTAAATATTTTTTTTTAAATTTAAAATCTGTGATTTTTGCTCTAAAGAATATTCTTCTAGAATTTGTTCATTAAAACACTCGAGCTAGTAAAAATGTTCTAAAAGACAAAATGAATATTGTTGTGTACATAACATATTTCAAATAAATGATTTAAATATTTGTTTAATGTACTATGTAGTTGTCATGAGTTGATTTGAAAGTTTTGTCGTCTGCATTGTCAATCACACTTTTTGTCTCTCGAAGTTATGCTACATTAATAATCTCAGAGGTGCTACTATAATAACACACTGAAGAAACAATTTGTTAAGAGTTTAATATCTTTAAACTTCAAGATGAATGCTTTTTACATCAAATACTAATCATGGGCATACATAATAGCTTTGTTTACAAAAGATATCCCACAGTGAACAATGAATAACTAGTATTCAACCACAACTGATCTAAATGACCCAATGAGCCGAATATCTTGCATCGTTTTCCTTTTCAAGACTTGTAAAAGACTTTTCTTAACAATCATATTATTATTTAACCTTAATTCGAACATTCTTAAGAATCTTTTTTTCTAGTGACCATTTTATTCATTTACAAATACATCTCTTGAAGGACTTTCTGATGTTATGATTGACAGATGTTAGAAGGGGGGGGGGGGAGTATGCAAACTAATTCAAACTAAAAATCGATTGCAATATTGCAATATCTTTAGGTCTCGCAAAGACCTTCCTTCAGGGAACAGCACCAGAAAACAGAAGTAGAAAGAGAAAGCCATGGGAAGACACAGGGAAGGTCTTAGGCCACTGCAACCTTACGGTCACACTGGGCCCCGAGCTTTCATAGGCCCCGAGCTAATGCAATGTGTAATTATTATATTGCAAATTATTAAATTGCAAAATTCCTGGAAATGCCCTGCATTTATTAAAATCTCCTGAAAACTCATAAAAATCTCCTGAAAAATAGACAAAATTTTCATTTGTGGGCGTCATTTTTTTACGGAAAAAGCCAATCCTAGGAGAGATTTTAAAAAATGGCATTTTCAGCTTTTATTTAATAAAATGTAATAATCGGGCGAATTATTACCTAAACCGAAAGTTCCAATACCTTATTTACTTTTTATAGTCACTGGCATATATATGCCATATGTTGCAAGGTTAGTAAAAAACAGTTAATTTTATCGCAATTTTGTACTTAGTAAAGAAGGAATAAAATGCAAAGTCGAATATTTTTTCTAATACAAAATCTTAATTTTCACTTATGATCCTTATTCCCACTCAGACTAGGCCCGCGCAATCAGTTTCGCATAGGGTTCTGCTATTGTTAGAACCGGCAGCGTAAGATTCTGACGAGCCTGTTAACGTGATGTGGTACGGTAGACCTACATGCAATATCAGGCCCTTATCTTGGTCACTGGCCCAGAGTTCCGCGCTCTGCTAAGGCGCCTCTGTTAGCCATTGTTAAGTGTCGTTGCGACTCCTTGTAATCTAGGTTAGCAATTTTAAGAAGGTGAAGGTTTTAGACCTAAAGCAAAAAATAAGCGCCACATTGTCTCAGGGTATGCGTAAAGAATTATAAATTGGAATTTCCAATTACGTGGTTCTATTTATGCCATTATCTTACCGTAGTTGTACATTTAGATAGATACGTAGGCTAGTTATTTCCCCTTTCAGACTGTCACATCAGTTTTAGAACCCCTGTAATATCTGGTGACTAGTAGTCACTGAACTATTCCGTGCAGTTAGCACGAGATTTTTCCTGGTCGGGGACTGACCACGAGGTGGACACCTCAGTTGATCTTGGACTCTCGTAGAGAGAGGTATATTGTGGATATCTTGTCCAGTGTAGTAATGTATAGATATTAAGGTTGATTTTTGGAGTATATGTGATATCTAAAGTATACCATTGGATTCTAATGTAATACATCTTGCGTATATTTCTTAATGGCTGGACTTGCCAATATCTTTTGTGAATTATATTTTATGTGAATAAAATCCATGTCTGCTGACCTAGAGTCTATTAATAATTCTAAATGTTGTGGTCGTAGCATTCAGTATGTTAATGTTCTCACGCACCAGCAAATCTAGTGCGTGTGAGAAAGTATTTAATTAAGAAAACAAAGAATATTATAGTAGTACCAGTACAACACACGAAGACATTCGAGTCATCACGCCTACAACCAGAACTAGGCTGTGACACAGACCTTGCGATCTATAGGGCAGATGAGGTCATCTGCTTCTTTGGCCAACGAGCAGGGAGTGTAGCTTGTGATTATATCATGGTACAATTGAGCAGATCAAAAAGAACCACTGCCTAGTACTATTCTAGATATAGGTGTGTTAGACAGGGACAGAACATACATCGTCATCACATGTGTAGCCTACATAAAATACAGAGAACCTCTTGTGACTTAGTGGGCTTGGTTAGCTAATAAGATTAATCCCTGATTATATCAATGAATACTCATTTCCTAATAAAATATGCACTAGGTATTGTTTTCTATGCCAAAGATAAAGGAGAAGGGATGTATTTCACATAACCACCCAAACACATGCTGAACACGTTGCAACTGTGTTTCGCCATATTCAGACATAAAGCCGTTATCCATCGGGTCTATATTTAAGTCTTTTCGTTTTTGGCACTTGTTTTCAACAAAGACTTTTCTTTTGGCCTTCAAATGTCACACGTGTCCCGCGACCTATTGAGAACTATCCATCTCTCTTTCACTGTCTATCTGGGCTGTCATCTATGTCAGTAAAGCCCCCCCCCCCCTAATGGCACCTGAGTTGGTCTTTTTTTTAGCTGTTAACAATCTTTTCTGTATTAAAGTTTTTCCTAATTTTGATTCAGCATCGCTTGGAAATCCCCACGCCAACTAGTAAATAAAAGCATTTGTTTATATGTGTCTGGAGGGGTCTGTAAACTGAGATAGTGCAAAGAGACTGCAAAAAGAAAATAATAAAAGAAAAAAAACAGGACATATTCCAAAAAATTTCTAAGATGGTCTCTGTTTAATTAATAGATAGTCAGTACAAAACATTGAGATGGTTACTCACTGAGCTGTAGGTCGGCAAAGGGCTATGTTTATTTAGTTCTACAAGAGACCGTCAGTTGAAATAAATATTTATGGCTTTTATATAGCGCTACTTTCATGCTGTTCAGTAAACAGAACTCTGCCCGAGTTGGGTGCCGAGCCCCCTTCATAGGTAGCCAAGCCAAATTCAAGCGCACTTAGCCTTTCGACCACGTTTCGTCATTTTTAAAACCAACAGAATAACATATCGTTTGAACCATGTCCTTTATTTAAGGCTTAAATCATGTCTGCTAAAGGCTTAGCTAGGCTAGATATAATTCTGATTAAAATTAAGTGCTGTCAGAAGGGAAGTAACACGTGCTGGAAATTCGATGCCAGGAAAAGGAAATTCCCCTTATCGTAATTGATATTTTTGCATTGTTGTTTGCGTATCAGGTGGCGATACGTATTCATGGGTCATAACTCTTTAACCAGAATCGCTCACATGTCAAGCATTTTTTTTGTATTACGCAACATTAATATTTTAATATTGTAAATGATGTCTTACGTAGGCCCCCAACAACGAACCAAAAGTTCATGCCGTCCTGAAGTCCAAAAAGTAGTCTAGTTCCTAAAATAAGAAATGACAGAATATACACAGCAAATACGAAACAAATAAATAATGACATTAGTTACTAATTGTATTTATTTTTCATTTCGAACAATAATTTATTCATTGAAATGTTCTATTTCAATGACATTGTAGAACCCGTACATTGAATGCAGTATTCTTTACCCTTTCCTAAAAGAGATTTCTTCTCTTTCAAAGGCTGTTTATAATCAGGTCCACAGTTTGAATTCATAAATTAATAATACAATATCAAGTCAAGTGTTCTGTGTGTGTGATAGAAGGCAATTACAAAATGAAATATAACATAAAGATACATTTTAAAATATATATATATTGATATGTGTTAACACTTATATTACTGCAAACAAGAATATAAAATGTTTAAGCAAAGTTACAATACAAACTTCCTTTGCAGAATTTTATTTACAGAATATTAACATTTATGTACATACTAAAATTTGTTTCTATGTACAGGTATCTTAATTCTATGTTTATACATAGTAGTATAGTCATCATCCAACTATAACTGCAGAAATGCTATGTAGTATAGTCATCATCCAACTATAACTGCTGAAGTGCTATGTAGCATAGTCATCACCCAACTATAACTACAGAAGTGCTATGTAGTATAGTCATCATCCAACTATAACTGCAGAAGTGCTATGTAGCATAGTCATCACCCAACTATAACTGCAGAAGTGCTATGTAATATAGTCATCATCCCCAACTATAACTACAGAAATACTATAAAGACAAATCCAGGGCAACAGTGTGTAGCAAGCAGAAATAAAAAAAATCTGGAAATATAAATGAAGAAAATAAACTAAATATGTCAGCAATTAGATGCCCTTCACCTTCATTCACACACACACTGTTGCCCTGTTTACTCTTCTCCATGACATTAAACAGTAAGATTATGTAAATGTCATCGGCCTTCGCCATCAAGCAGTAATAGACTCTCACCACACTTCAGCCAAGTCCAGCGCCTGGGATATTGTATCAGTGTATATTATTATTATTGTTTAATATTTATATATACATGCATATTACTGTGCATTACATATCATTATTATGACATGAATGCAGTTTTAAAAAAATAGGTATTTTACAATGTGCGTCATTTATTAAAATGAAACGAATATTTTAAAAGACAAAGGCTGCTGGACTTAGCTAAAGAGAGGTGCTCGTCTATTTCTACTTTTCAACAACACTCTGTGCCTGGTGGGAAGGCCAATTTTTAGCTCATAAATGCTCTGACAAGTCCCATAACACGATTCCTGCACACTGGACATTCCTTTATTGCAGCGGCGCAGACAGTGCAGGACACAAAGTGACCACAGGGCAGAAAGACGACAGCCACTTCTTTGTCCTTACAAATTTTACAGACTATCTGTTGGCGCAAAGTTCTGAGTTTTTCTACAATGAGGTAAAATAATAATACACATGACAAAGAAATAGATTTGAACTACAATTGCATTAATATTAAATAAGTCGAACACAAGATCCTCAGGATTCACTAAGACCTCC